AGGCAGCCCAAAGGCAGGAGCCAGCGTCACACCCGGCCGCCCCTGAGAGAGGAGGAGGAGGAGGTGGTCCAGGTACTGCGAGGGGAGGAACAGCATTTACAAATGGAGAATGAGATTAGAAAAATAACAATTGCTTTATTAGGAAGTTTAATTCAAACTACACGAGGAAGCTGAAGAAGAAATATGTTTATTCCAGATTTTTCCACCCACCACAACACACTCAGCCAAATACAGAGTGACAACTCACTGAAGGGAGTGGGAAGAACCGGGAGGACGGCGCTTGCCCCAGCCCAGCAGAGCCGGGACGGGGATGCTCTGCCTGGCAGGAGCAGGAAAGCTGCCGAGCGTCCAGACCCCACTCGCCTCTTCGCATCCTTCTGTGCTTTCCTTGGAAGCCGCTTGTTTCCTCCATGCACAGAGACCTTGAGCTGCATTTCCCTTCAAGGCCAGCAGTGACCGGAGCTCCCCAGCGCAGTTTGTGGTGTCACACAGCACGATGCCAAGGGATTTTTGCTGCAGCACACGGAGTGGAGGCAATGCAGAGCCAAGCCCTCCGCTCACAGAAGGTGCTGGCTTTAGTTATTAGCGAACCCTGTTAACAGCAAGAGCCACGTTCCCAACGGTAATCACAAACTCAGAGCTTCCACATAACAGCCCAAATTTTTACCAAAATTTCTCTCCTTCATCAAAGATTTATCTCTACTTTATGCGTTCTGCTTTCCATTACCCGACTGTGCTCAATAATTAAGCTGAGTCCAACCTTCCCCATTTATCAATGTATTCTCTTCTGGGGACAGAACATGCTCACTGAATTTTCCCCTAGTGAAGCTTCCAGTGTGAAAGCCCTGGAGCTCGGTAACCTGCGCCCACAGCAGCGGCACGCCGGAGGTGCCGTTGTGGCAGCAGAAAGCATTGGCCAACAGTCTAGCACAGAGGTGGCCTACCCGCCCTCGATACATGCTACCTTGTCATAGGAGTAGTCAGGCTTCAACTCAACTAGCTTAGTAATGCATGAAGACTACATTTTCTCGCCTCAAGAGACCATCTACCATCCCACCCTTATTTCCTAGTCTAGACCATGTTTTAGAAGAGCCCCTCCAAGAGGGAAGGCTGCTTCGGAGGCGTCTGGATGGAAGCAGAGCCATCGGCCGAGGCACTCACGCAGAGCGGCTCACGTCGAGCTGCAGCACGGCCATCGTCTCAGCATGACCTGTCACTGCGTCAGAGCTGATCAAGAGCCCAAGATCACGCTCCTCGGAATCTGATGGTGAGGGAATTCACAAAATAGTCCAGTTCCAAAGGAGAGAAAGCCGAGGAAATGCAGACACCCTCGAGGGCAAAGCCATGCCTGGTGCTCTGGTTTCTAACAGACACTTCTATTTTGGCACTTCGGATGGAAGATGCACACAAAGGTTGTATGTGTTTCACCGAACACTTTTTGTTCAATGAAGAAAAATGCTTGCATTGATTCGCTCCAGGCTAACACGAATATCAGAGATTGTTAACATCTATGAATAGGGGCCAATGTTCACATCAGCTCATGTGGTCCTGGCGCGCTCGCCGGATTAGGCAATGGATTTGCTCTCCCTGCGTGTGTCTCGGAGGCTGCTAAGCAGCGTCGCACCAGGGACCAGCTCCCTTGGCAAAGCCACGCAGCACGGACAATGCCGACAGCCTCAGCAGGACGCGTCTCCCCGCAGCGCCGCCCCACAGCCTCCCCTCCCGCCTGGGCAGGGGGCATTGCAGACAGCCCAGTTTATTCCCTATTTAGCCAAATGCGGGAAGGCAAACCCAGCTGCTGGAGCACAGGAAAACACACTGTTTTCCCCAGGCTGGATTTAAAAA